ATCACATCCTTGAGGGAGGCAGGAGAAATAAGAAAGCACAAAAAACATGTCAGAAAAAATGATCAAGGTTCCCAGAGATCTGGCATTCATTATTTCAGTGAGATGCTGAAGCTGAAAAAACAAATTCTTTTGTTTATTCTTGCCGTTTGTGTATTGGCAAGTTTTCTTTTAGGTTTTGCTCAGCAGTTTTTAAGTAGTAAGAGGCTGACTTATTTCAGAAGACACACACACACACACACACAAAACAAAATCCAAAACCCTAAAAACTTTTATGGAGACTTTTTTCTTTCATTACAGCAAAGAGATTGTAAATGTCCTTTTTTTAAGAGGCCTTTAGTCTCGTTATGGATCCTTCCCTGGCCTAAGGGGTTTCTTCTGTCCACTTGAGGAGGAGAGATCGTATCCTACAGGACAAAGAACAATTCCTACAGATGAGAGTTAGCATTAAATAGAAATGTCTTCTTTTTCCTCTTGTGGTTCTTTTCCATATCACAGGGGTGAAAGAAAAATAATGGGATGAAAAGCAACCTTGAGCTAGTGAGAAAAATGATTCACTACAGCTCTTGTAAAGGTTCCTCCTTTAGTACAAGTTAAATCAACTTTTTAACTCCTCTTTCTAATATAACCCAAGTTCCAAAGGCCATCATTGGTATGGGACTCTCCTCAATATGTGTATGTGTGTGTGTATGTGTGAGAGAGAGAGAGAGACAGAGAGAAAGAGAAAGAGAGAGAAACAGAGAGACAGAGAGAAAGAGAAAGAGAGAGAGAGAGAAGATACCAACCCCAATTCAGGTTTATGAAGGGAGAAGGAGACTCTGGGGAGAAGTTGAACATGAGAAGCTGGCAGTCTCTATCATGTCCCTATCCCTAGCTTCTCTGGAAGCTTTTTTCTTTACGTATTAGGGTAATATCATTGGCTCTTTCTCATTAGAAGACAGAAAGGGGAAGAGAGACACTCAAATCTTCCATTCTTCCATTCACCATCAGCTCCACAGAAGCACTAGTGACTAAAGTAAAGCTTTGGCCTTTCTAGGATGACAATCTGGCCATGTAGAATACAGCTAGGTGATGCAGTGGATAGACTGCCAGGACTATAGGTAGGAAAATCTGAGTTCAAATCCAATCTCAGTCACTTACTGGTTGTGTGACTCTGGGCAAGTCACTTAACCCTGTTTACCTCAGTTTCCTCACCTGTAAAATGAGTTGCAGAAGGAAATGGCAAACCACTCAAGTATCTTTGCCAAGAAAACCCCAAATGGAAAGAATTTTTACAACCAGTGTCTCTGATAAGGGCCTCATTTCTAAAATATATAGAGAACTAAGTCAAATTTATAAGAATACAAGTCATTCCCCAATTGATAAATGGTCAATGCATGTGAACAGGCAGTTCTCAGATGAAGAAATTAAAGCTATCTATAGTCATATGAAAAAATGCTCTATATCACTACTGATTAGAGAAATGCAAATCAAAATAACTCTGAGGTACCACATCACACCTATCAGATTGGCTCACATGACAAAATAGGACAATGATAAATGTTGGATAAGATGTGGGAAAATTGGAACATTAATGCATTGTTGGTAGAGTTGTGAATTGATCCAACCATTCTGGACAGCAATTTGTTACTATGCCAAAAGGGCTATAAAAATGTGCATACCCTTTGACCCAGCAATACCACTTCTAGGGCTGTATCCCAAAGAGATCATAAAAATGGGAAAAGGACCCAAATGTACAAAAATATTTATAGCAGTTCTTTCTGTGGTGGCAAATTGGGAATTGAGGGGATGCCCATCAGTTGTGGAATGGCTGAACAAGTGGTATATGAATGTAATGGAATACTATTGTGCTTAAGAAATGATGAGCAAGCAGACTTCAGAAAAACCTGTAAAGACTTGTATGGACTGATGCTGAGTGAAGTAAGCAGAACCAGGAGAACGCTGTACACAGTAACAGCCACATTGTGCGAGGACTAATATTGATAGACTTAGCCCTTCTCAGCAATGCAAGGATCTAAGACATCTCCAAAGGCCTCATGATGGAAAATGCTATCCATATACAAAGAAAGAACTATGGAGTTTGAATGCAGATCGAAGCATACTATTTGCTCTTTTTTTTTCTTCTGTTTTGTTTTGTTCCTTCTTTCTTGTGGTTCCTCCTATTGGTTCTAATTCTTCTTTACAACATGACTAATGTGAAAATATGGTTAATAGGAATGTATATGTAAAGCCTATATCAGATTGCTTGCCATCTTGGGGAGGGAGGTGGGAAATAAGGGGGAGAAAATTTTAAACTCAAAAGCTTATGGAAGTGATTGTTGAAAACTAAAAATAAATTAATTTTTTAAATAATAAATTATAATGCTATAATACAAAATATCATTATTATAACAAAAAACTAAAAATCATTTTAAGTCTAAAAAAGAAAACCCCAAATGGGGTCATGAAGAATTGGACATAGCTAAAACAAATGAACAATAACTACAATCACAATAGAAGGTAGTATGAGAAATCCATGTTTGGCAAAGACATGGGTACTTTAAGAACAGCGATGTTAAAGAGGAGAAATGGTGAGAACTATGGCCCGAGTAGCAACTACAAAACAACAGTACCTTTTCATTTCAAGGGCCCAAAGCTGAACAAGACAAACTGTATGCAGCTTTCTGTAAGAGCAGCTTTCTCCAAGCTTTTTAAGAATAAACTTCTCGAAAAGGATGAGCAAAGAATGATGCCACAAAATCAGGCACCCAAGGTGCTAATCCTTAGAACCCCCAAAATAGGGCTCTGTATAAAGGCTGGTCAGTCCCGCCGCCAAAACTTTGCGGACCCCAACATGCTTGTTTGATTTTTTTTTTTAACTCACTGAATCCATGATTTCATCATTCTTATTGATTTGTCTTTATTACAGTCCCAGTTTACTATTAGCTCATTAGACCTCATAAGACAGGCCACTGTCCTGATATTATTATTTTATATTTAATATTCTGTTGACTATTGTGCAAGTGGATAAAATGGCTGCTTTTTGTTATTGAATGAGAGTATTGGGATATCAGCTTATCTTCCATAGGCTCAATGGCAGCATCTCCAGGGCAAGCCCAGCAGCAGATATGAGGACAGGGATGATATGTTCTTTATTGTGCTCTTAAATGGTTGTGATTTCTTCTGCTGATCTATATATTTTGAAAGCTTTTCACTGCATGAAGCTTGGAGATCATGAGTATTCATGATGGAGACATCTATTAACATGTTGTTCTTAAATTTTTATGAAGTAATGTTATGCCCAAGCAATTATGGACACTAGTGTTGTCACTGATAGTGCACTTTGATTCCTGTACAATTCATTTGTTGAATTCTCAAGGATAGGTGGCATCATGGTGCATAGAGCATTGGGTCTGGAGTCAGGAAGACTCACATCTTCCTGAATTCAGATCTGGCCTTAGACATTTATTAGCTGTGGGACCCTGGGCAAATTACTTAACACTATTTGCCTCAGTTTCCTCATCTCAAATGAGCTGGAAAAGGAAACGGCAAACCACTCCAGTAACTTTGCCAAGAAAACCTCAAATGGGGTCATGAAGAGTTAGAAATGATTGAAATGACTCAACAACAACAAAAAGAACAATAAGTTGTAGTATGGCAATTTGTTATAGCAAAGATAATGAGCTTCTAATATGTAATACTAGGCATGAGATCCTTGCTAAGTATTTGGTAGATACTAATTTTTTGCAACCTGCAGTGATTAGTTAGATAGCTTCTACTATTTTGTTTTTTTGTTTTTTGGTGAGGCAATCGGGGTTAAGTGACTTGCCCAGGGTCACACAGCTAGTAAGTGTCAAGTGTCTGAGGCCAGATTTGAACTCAGGTCCTACTGACTTCAAGGCTGCAGCTCTATCTACTGTACCACCTGGCTGCCCCTAGCTTCTGCTATTTTCTTGCATAATCTGAGCTGTTCAATAAATCCAGAGTCCTTATGGACAACCATTCTACAATTTCCAGTGGCAGTGGTCCATTCTAGAATCACTATCTTAACCCTCTCCATTTCTGTAAATAGATCCACATGACTTGGCTATTTGTTCAGTTGCTTCTTTGCCAATCCATTATTGGCTGTGTCCACATGGAGGTTGACCATGGAAGGCCTCTTCATTCCACTTTGGGATCTTAGCCATTTCACTGGCTCCATTCAGAAGTAAATCAGTTTCAGTTATAATCAACAAAAATCCATAATTCATACTTATTGTTGGCCCTTACTATTGCTCTATATAGTGATGCATCTTTGTTCTAGAATAATTTCTATGTGTTTAACCTGTTTAATAACGCTCTGAGGATATCTGCCAATTCTATTCCTCCTTTTTGATCAGGGAGTGTTCATCTCTCTAGAGGGGTCTTAGGATAATGAGATTTGTTAGTGTTTCATTAATATTAGTGTTTCATTTAATATCATATTAACATCATTAATATCATTTGTTTGCATACTTTCTAAACCTGTTATTGTCTACATTACTATTCCAAAAAAAATACATTAAGATCAATATTATATACGTATTAATTGCTGTCAGTGTGTTCTTCCAGGTGAGATATCATCAGCAGCAGCAGCAGCAGCATCAGCATCATCATCATCATCATCATTATCACTCTACAATATCCCATGGTCCCAGAATTTCAGATTCTCAATCTGGTGACAATGATATAACGAAATCAAGTACATAGGGCCTTCTAAGTACCACAAACCTAAAGATTGGGACCACATGGGACCAGAAACCTGGGCATTTGTTTGCCCTCAACATTGAGGTATAAGATAATTAGATGGTTTTAAAACAGGAGACATTTCTAGTTATACTCACTCTGCATGATCCTACTTGAAGGATAGGTGTGGGAGGGGAGAGTGAAAGACTAGAAATATTCTAATGTCATTTCCAGACCTATACTCCAATCCCTGAGTCCCTTACTGATAATATAAAAAAAGGGCAAGGGGACACCGTTATGGTTTCCATTCTGTGAAAAATCTACCTGCTAGGATCTGGGCTGATACCAGTTGTATTCCTCAAAGATGTCATCTTCAACCTAAGTTGAAAAAAAAAAAAAAGAAAACAAATGACAGGACTAAAGATGTAGGCATGGCTGCTAAAACTCTAGTTTACATTTCAAGAAATGTTTTATTCTTATTTGTCATCCTTAGCTATGTAAACCAGAGAAACGCTCTAGTCATAAATCTTGGATTTTTAAAAAATGCACTTAGTTATTCTGTGTTTGTCCATGCTGCAATGACTAGGTTTCAGGATCATAAATTGAGAGCTGAATGGGATAGCAGAGACCATCTAGTACAACCCCCTCATTTTACAGATGAGAAATTGAGGCCTGGAGAAATTAAAGGACCTGCCCAAGGTCACACAAGTACCAAGCAGCAGAGCTGGGATTCAGACCCAGTTCTCTCAGACTCCAAAAACAATGTTCTTTCCTCTATACCATTCTGTCTCATGTCAGCTAAGAACTTATTTTTATAAGGACTAGCTATGGTGCACTAAAAAGTCCATGAGGACTTTATAAGTATCAAATGATAAGTACAGCATTTTTTCTTCATGTTCTAGATTTAGATGCAATATGTATAAACATACAGGTGGCATGGTTTGACCAAACCTGTAATAGTATAGAGGGGTTTTATTGTACTAGCAATGCTGATAGCAATGACTAACAAGTGGCTTATTAACTAATTCTGGGGGATTAACTATATTAAGATGTGAAGCAGATGGCCTGGATGTTGCCAGGGAAGTAGACTCACCTCTGTAGCAAAGTCAGCAGTTTTTGTGTGTCTCTGGTTTTTTTGTGATCTGTTCCATAAATAAGGACTTGAATTTCCAAACACTGTGGGTAAATTACATAAACAAAATAGGAAAAAATTGTCAGATGGCTACTACCTCACATGCAAACCTAACTAAGCAGTAGTAGAGAAGAATTGTGATACTATGTTCTTGAAAATTCAGCAACTTGCTCTATATTTTGCTGATTCTCTTTCAGAAAGAAACAGCAACATTCAAGGAGAGCTCTGAAATCACTGTTCACATCTCTGTACCACTGAGGTGAAGATTGTAGACAGCCAAAATAATATGGGAGTAAATGATAGCATCATTCAAAAACAAATGCAGTTACAGCAGGAATAACTTCTATATACATTACAAAATACAAGGGTCACACATGAAATCTGCATATCATTTGCAAAACTGTAAAGTGCTGACTCAGGTACATTTCCATTTAAGGAATTATTATTGCTACCTTGAAAGTGGAGGCCAAAAAGTATATATATTTTTTCTATTCCTCCTTATCTACCCCCTATTTTTAACCCAACTCTCTTCAAAAGCAACACAGAGAGGGAACTGACTGCTGCCCAAGGAGAAGATTAAGGTGAGGGGTAGCATCTCCAGCCCTCTGCAAAATTGTAAAGATTTTACGATCTCTGGCCACTCACCTCTGTGTCATTTCTCACAACTCATTGCCTCCCAAGTTTCTTTTTCCCTTTAATATTACTTATGGTTCCCAAGGCAATTTTAAGGGGACCTCAACTATCTCCTCTCAGAGCTTGATAAATCATAATTTTGATAAACCTAAAAATAAATAAGAAGCTAAGGAGATGAATAGAATATTAGAAAAGTTAGATATGGTAGACCTTTGGAGAAAATTGAATGGGGACAGAAAAGAATATACCATTTTCTCAGCAGCACATGGCACCTACACAGAAATTGACCATGCATTAGGGCACAAAAACCCCAAAATCAAATGTAGAAAGGTAGAAATATTAAACATATCCTTTTAGGTTCATAATGCAATAAAAATTACATTTAACAAAGGGCAATGGATAGATAGATTAAAAGCTAATCGGAAACTAATCTAATCCTAAAGAATAAGTGGGTCAAAGAACAAATCATAGAAACAATAATTTCATTAAAGAGAATGACAATAATGAGACAACATTTCAAAATTTATGGGATACAGCCAGCACAGTACTTAGGGGAAAATTTATTTATTTAAATTCTTACATAAAAAAATAAATAAATAAAGAGCAGATTGATGAACTGGACATGCAACTTAAAAAAAACTAGAAAAAGAACAAATGGTAAATCCCCAATTGAGCACCAAATTGGAAATCCTGAAAACCAAAGGTGGGATTAATAAAACTGAAAGTAAGAAAATTATAGAGCTGATAAATAAATCTAGAAGCTGGTTTTATGAAAAAACCAATAAGATACATAAGCCATTGGTTAAATGCAAATTATTGCTCTATTAGATAAAAGATCAAAAGATAGGAAGAGGAAGTTCTCAGTGGAAGAAATCCAACCTATCAACAGCCATATGATAAATGTTCCAAATCATTAAAAATAAGAGAAATTCAAATGAAAATAACCCTGTGGTTTTTACTTCATGCTCATCCAATTGGCAAAAGTTGACAATTGTTGGAGGGGCTGCTATAAAACAGGCTCACAAATGCACTGTTGATGGAGTATGAATGGTCCAGTCATTCTGGAAAGCAATTTGGAACTATTTCCCCCCGCCCCCCCCAAAAAAACACACCAAACCATACATACCCTTTGACTTAGCAATACCACTTTTATATCTATACCCCAAAGAGATCAAAGAGGAAAAATCCCAAATGTATGAAAAATATTTATACCATTTTTTTGTGCTGTCAAGGAACTGGAAATTGAGGGGGTATGTTATGTGCATGTAATGGAATGTTATTGTGCTACAAGAAATGACAAAAGGAAACATTAAGAAAAAAATTTAGGAGGTGAAATTTACGACAATGGAGAGGAAAGCAATAAGCTGATCAAAAGCTATTATATTTAATTATAAGGCAAAAATGGACATTTAAATTAAATGGATGAATATTTACAAAAATACAACATAACTAATATTAACAAAATGAGAAACAGATTGTCTTTTCAAAAATACCTTTCTATTAAAAAAGTTCTAAGTTTAAAGTTCTAAGTTTTTTTAAAAAAAAAAAAACCTAGTCCACATGATATCATTGCTATAACCACATGATTCTGTCAACAGGCAGAAAAACCTTCAAGAAAATGCAGCATTCATTTGCTACAAAAATACAAAAATTCATAGGAATAAAAGGATCTTTACTTAATATGATTGAGAGGATCTGTCTATACTAAGAGGTAGCATTATTTTCAGTGGAGAAACACTGGCAGCTTTCCCAATTAGATCAGGAGTGAAGCAATTATCCCCACTGCTGCTGCTGCTGCTGCTGTTTTGACATTGTGCTAGAAATGCTAGTTATAGCAGTAAAACAAGAATTATAAATCAATGGAATAATTATAGGAAAAGGGGGGCGAAAAAAGGCAGTGTTGTGTAGTGAAGAGAGCACCAGCTTCAGAGCCAGATAGACCTGTGTTGTTCAAGTCCTACCTGTGACACATATTAAGCTGTGTTCCCTGGGCAGATCACTTAAATTCTCAGCACTCCAGGCAAATCTCTAAAACTATAAATTTCAGAGAAGGTGCTGACCTTAAAAGGAATTTCATTACTAGTGAAATCACAGGTCTAGTTCCATTTTTAAAGAAGAGGCAAAATTATTTCTACCTGAAGATATGAAGTTGTCCTCTGCAGAGTCCTGTTCTGATGCCTCATTAGAGTACAGATGTGACCCTGGCAGTGCAAATTCTGACAAGTTCTTCTCTTCCCCCCACCCCAGTTTCTGTTTGTATACTGTTCCCCCCATTCAATTGTAAGCTCCTTTAGGGCAGGCACTGTCTCTCCAGCACTTACTACAGTGCTGGCACATAGCAGGCATTTAATAAATGTTGACCAACTGACCAAAAAAGTCTTTGAATACTGTTGTAGCAACAGATTGAGTTTGCTTCTCAGAACCAGCTTAGCTGAATGAGCCAGAGCTCACTACCAAAAGGCTGCCCACTTGGTAATGTATTCTTTATTTATGGCAGCCCACAAACAAATAAAAATGCAAAATAACCTTCATTCCTACATGACTCCATACTGCTTCTGTGGTGACAGTGGAGAGAAGAGTGGCAGAAAAGAACATAGGAGGGATCAAGAATAACATAGTTTTTAGAACATCTATAAACTTTGGTTTGGTTATTGGTAGTTTAAATGTGGGTTCTTGTCCAATGACAAATGAGTATACACACTACTGGGGGGAGTTAAAACATATTAATTTGTTCTTGGTGTAGATGAACCAGGATCTCCTTGGAAAGGCAAACAGCGGAATAGATGGAGTTGGTTTTATTATATTCTGGAAGGCAGCAAGAAATATCATTTCATGGAACATTTTGTCATCTTGTATTGCAATGCATGTGATAAGTATTTGCAAAAAGAAAAAAAAAACCTCATGAAAATAATTGCAGAATTTGTACTAACATCTGTTATAGAGAATAAAGAGGTAGAAAAATTCTAAAAAGAACCTGATGAGACTCCCCCCTCCCCACCAACTCATACACAAAGCCAGTAAAATAGCATATCCTTTGATACTTAAAAACTTCAACACAAAAGTGAGAATAGGTTAGGATGTCTAGAAATGTATGGAAAACATGATTCTGGAAAGGGGAATGAGGTGGGTCAGATAGGAATGAGATTACACAGAAGCCTCCAGCTTTCTTTAAGGGAAAAAATATTTTCTTTGAGAAAAAAAATTGGCACATACTGAATAATATTATAAAGATAAAATTAATTTTAGTTTAACAAACAAGAAATGAATTGTTACCGAAAGGGAAGTCATTCCTGAATCGGCTTCTGTGCATGGTCTGTGCTTGTTAGAACAAAGATCTAATTGGTCTCCTATCTCCAAACCATTCTTCACATAGCTGCCAAAATAACTTTCCTAATGAGCTAGTCTTACGATACCTTTGAGTGCTTTCTATTTGTCTGCAGAATAAAAGACAGGCTCCTTAACATGGCATTTAACACCCTCTACTATCTGAATCTACCTAAGGTTTCCAATCCTATATCCTCATCTCCTTTCAAATACTTTTATATTCCAGTCAAACTGGGCTATTTTTACTCAAATTCACCATGCTAATTTCAACTCCATGCATTCACATTCACTATCCCTGCCCTCCAAAACTAGAAAGCACTCTCTCCTGCTCTCTGCCTATCATAATCCTTCTCTTCTTTCAAGACCAGGCTCAGGTGTCACCCGCTCAACAAAGTTTTCCCTGGTCCCCTTCTGTGAAAGTCTTTGATCCTTCTTCAAATTTTCCCAGACCACTTTGGATCTCTCCTGTATTACACTTATCTGTACATGTGTCATATCCATCCCAAACTCCCAAACTTCTCACAGTGAGGTTTTTGCTTGTTGTTCAGTCAATCCAGTCATGCCCATTTGGGGTTTTCTTGGCAGAGATACTGGAGTGGCTTGCCATTTCCTTCTCCAGGTCATTTTACAGATGAAGAAGATTAGGCAAACAGGGTTAAGTGACTTGCCCAGGGACACACAGTCAGTACGTGTCTGAGGCCAGATTTGAACTCAGGTCTTTCTGACTCTAGGTCTGACATTCTATCCACTGTGCCACCTAGCTGCCCGATCATGAGATTAGGGAATATAATTTTTTATCTTTGTATCCCCATCTACTAGGCACACTGTTTGTGTGTAGGTAATTTAAAATGTGTGTTTAACACAATGCCTTACTCTCCCCAAAGTCCAGAAAGCCTTTTCCGACTTAAGAGCTAGTTTATTACATACACGATGTTATTTGAGACCTGATAAGTGCTAGTCAACAGGGAAAGAGATGCCTTGGACAAAGCAGTGATAGCATCACCATCTTCTCAGTCATCTGGTTTCAAAACCTCAGCATCATTTTTGACTTCTAACCTCCCTCCTCCACATATTCAACCAACTGAAAAGTGAATGGATTCTACCTCCATATTGCCTATGGTAGCTGATACCAGTTCCCCTCCTTTCATTCCCACTGTTGCCACCTCAACTCAGATCTTCATTATATCTGCTTTGGACTATTGCAACAACCTTCTTTGCCTCCAATTATCCCTTTTCCAATCCATCATTCATCCCACTACTGGAATAATAATCACTCTAATTCACAGTCTGATCAAATCACCGTCTAAACTACATTCAGAGGCTCCTCCTTAGAATACAACATAGTCTTTAGCCTGATGTGCAAGGCTCTCCAAAACAGAGTTTCTAATAGGGAAATGAGGCAAGAGCACAATTAATGAAACTAAAGGATGGGTTGGAGTGGAATTAGTAGCAAGACTCACTTCCTACTGATAGGACTGATCCAAGAATTTAAGATGGGGTCAGGCCAATGGTGTGCTAGAGTTGGTTCATACTGTTCAGAGAGCAGACTGTTAAGTTTGCAGTGTGAACATTAACACCTTAGAAATAAGTGCTACAAATCAGGGCTTGATTTATTGATTTATTCATTGGCTAGACTTAATAAAATGATAGAAAAATGTTAATATAATACAAATTAAACTTAAAATTATGTCATAGGCACATTTTCCCCAAGAGTCAGTTGTTAAACATTTACCAGCATACCTCTGGTTCAGATGTATAGGAAAGGGTTAAATGTCCCTGGCTATAAAGGTTAAAAGGGTACAGGGAGTCAGAAATGGTAATATAGAATAAACCACACCACAGAATAATCATTATGCTGCTATATCATGCATCAGCAGGACAACTAGGCTTTGTTCTTTCCTGGAACTGAATTCACATAAAGTTACACCATATATGGCTTCACAGAACAATACTCTCATTCATGCTGAATATTCCATTTCATCCTGTTTCTCCTTTACTTTACTGCCATCAAGATCATGAGCTACTTTAGAGGCCCAGGCTGACCTTCAAACATTCCTAGAGAAGGTGAAGAAACCATATAAGATCCAAGGGAATAAACTTGAGGAAACAACTAAAGGTGGCATCTGTACTCCACTAGTCTTCTGGGTGACCACTTTCATAGATATTTCCCCATTATTATCAATCCTGCGGTGTATGAACTCCAACTCCCAGACAACCTAATGGTTTATCCTATATTCCAGTGGTTAGTGTTCCACCACATTAAGTTAGATTAAGAAATGCACCTAGAGTTTATATGCTATCCTTAATCCACAAAGAAATAATTAAAAACAAAACCAAACTATACTTTCTGAATTTCTAAGTCTGCTGAAGATAGATATTGTACTTAGTATTATTAGTACAGTATTTAGCAGTCTTCTCCTTTGTAAAATGAGAAAATACTGTTAGTATTATACACTTTCACAATGTTGTTGTTGGCAAATTACTTTGTAAACTTCAAAGCACTATAGAAATGTGTTATGCATGGAAGTACCCCTGGAAAGCATCTAGTCCAATCCCCTTAGCTTTGGCGGGGTACAGCAGTGGTGACCCTAAAAAGGAGATCCCAATGTTGAAGAATCTAAAACCCTGAGGAATCTGCTCTTACCTAGATCAAACAGAACTTATATCCCCCAAGTGAGCCCCACGTATGTCAGAAGGATGTAGCCTAGCCATTTGACTTGAACATTAACGGCTCCTGGGTAGATGAAAATGCATTTATTGAGAACGCCCATTTTGTGATAGGATCATGGAAGGAACCTAAACTGTCCAAGGTAAAAAGGCAACAACTATTTCATGTTCCCAACAAATCATTCAATAAGCCTCACAAAAAAAAAATAATAAATCCAAGACACCAGACATGAAAAGCCTACTTTATCTATTCTATCAGTTCCTGACTTCTGCCCATGGACCAAATGACAAGCCTACCCTGTCTGCTGATCCTACCAAAGGTCCATGACCATGTGAGCAAGTCTTTAGCCTCAGTCCTGAAAATGATCTTGCCTTGTTCAGATGTATGCCTAAGATGGCCATGCTTCTCACCTCACCCAGAACTTGTGAAATACCCAACTGAGACCCCTACAGTCTGACTGTATCCACCTCAAATTTAAACCAAGCCAGTCTGATATTGCCTTGCCTGAAGGGGAGGAAGGGATGAACTCAGTAATTCCTAGCGTTCCCATAAAAGCTCAAACATTCTAAGTTTATTTCTATCATATAAGGGGAAAAAATCCCAAAGTCCCTACTTAATGAGATCAGGAAAAGCCACTCAAAATTAGAACCTAGAGTTTTAAATCTAGAACTCATTGGAGGTGCTATTCAAGATGCTTATTATGTGAGACAGCTTGAAATCTCTTAAATGACAGAAATGCTAACAAAAGAAAAACTTCTGGTTTTAAGCAATAACGAAATCTTTAGGTCTCTATTTTATGTATGTGTGTGATGTTTAATCCAGTCTACGGTGGCGTGAATGTTTGTTACATGTGGTGTTACATACACAGATCAAATAAATCTTGACCATGAACCTTCAAACTAGCTTACTGTCCCCAATACAGACAGAAATGTAAAGGCTTCATAAAGGGACAAGGAAAGGCCACATGAGAAACTATGTGTTCCAGAAGGGAGAAAATAGAATAGGCCACTGTACCAAGAAGGTAAGGGTGGTTGAAGAAGCTGTCACTTGCTAATGAATGTGATCCACCAAGGAGGTCATATGTAGTGTTTTAAAGTGATTTTTTTCAAATGTAAAATGTCCCAACCACTGCACGATGGAAAAAGCGGTGGATATTAGGCAGAGGACCTAGTTTTGAATCCTGGCCATGCCATTTATTATCTGTGCAATCTTGGGCAAATCACTTAATCTCTCTGAGCCTCAATTTTCTTCTGCCTCTAAATCTATAATCCTAACTAATCCACATCTCCAGGGAAGATAGATCATTTGCCTTGTAGCAGACCTTGTAGGAGACCTGTTTCTGAACCCTAAGGATTCCTGGGTTGATAAGGGCACAAAAGGGACCGACTTTGTAAGTGATCTGAGAAGCTGCTATCAAGATCCTATTAGGAGACACCCTGCTTTCCAGAGCCAAGGCCCAGCAAGCAAGCTGTGCCCTGAGCTTGGCGTAACAACTATCCTTTGTGGTCACCCTCTGGACGAACTGATGGTCCCTGAGCTCCAGCAAGCACCAACAGGCCCAGACGTGAAGCCCTGCTATGAACAGGCTTTTTGTCACTAGATAACCTTGTCTCACTGTTGCTGTTATTCCCCACTGCTGTTGCTACACTACACTGTTTGACTCTGTCTAGCCACAAGTGTATAAATCAAGGTTCAGCCCCACTGCCTCGAGTCCGCCCACTAGGGGCAGGGCCCCAGCACATGTATCTAGATCCCTCCTTGCTTGAAAGCCATTCTGCTCACTTTGAAATGAAACTTCTGTTTGAATTCTGATGCTCCTTTCTCTAGCCTGCTATGTTTGGCTCCAGCCATCCACAGGTTAGAAGGGCTGGTTTAGTCCAGTTGACATCCCTAACCTCTCTCTCTATAGTCTCCTTGTTTTCTTTCTATTGTAATTCCTCTATAGAATTTACAAACATTGAGAATCTTTAGCTCTTTCCTGAAAAGTCGTGAATTTGCAGGATAAGGAGAAGAAGGGGAAAGGGAAATATTAGCTCCTTTTGTTCTGTGGAAGAGACACTAAATCCCCTCTCTAGCTACTGAAAAACAAGTCATTCAATTTCCATCTGATAGGACCCTACAACTATCAAGTACTAAGGATATTCTCATTCTTCCAAGAGGACTTTCTTCAGTATGGGGTGATTTAAGTGAGGCCTTTGCTGAAGGTCAAAGGGACATGAACAGCCTTCCAAAAACATCCACATTAGAGGTTTGTGGTACAGATTCTTAATCAGAGTTGGAATGATGAAACAGAACAAAATTGGAAATCACCTTTTTTAGTAGTTGAGTGGTCTTTTTTATTTCTCCCTTGGCTAGGCAGATGCTGCCCAGAATATAGAAAGTTTCCGCCACTTTCTCACTATAGTCACCATAGCTTATTAGTTGGGACCTCAGTGAGTTCTTCAGAAGTTTATAAGCCTCCTAGGAAATGAAAATAAGCCATTAGTGTGATAAGTTTGAAGGAACACACTGGCTGCCAATTAATTCATCCCTCCAGACTCTAGAGAAGGTATAACTAAGATGCCAGAGAAAGGGTTAGTTCTTTCCCATGCTTCCCAAGGATCTGGAATAGCCTTTACCATTCTCAAAGTATAGAAATTCCCCTCACTCCCCCACCTCCCCAAAAACAAACAAACAAAATAAACTAGTGGCTTTAGATTCTGGTTTTGTTCTGTTTTTATAGAACTCACACCCTATGTGCAAATTTTGATAATCTGCCCCAAATATTCACATTTTTGTGAACATATTTGTGCCTGATCAGTGGTAGAGCATTCTGAGCTTTTAAAATTTTGTTCCCCAGTTACTTAAAAATAAATTTTTGTCAGTTTTTAAACAGTAGTCATTAAGGTAGAAAAGGAAAAAGGAAACATTTTTTTCACATTTCAAAGTTAAGACAAAGATTTCCCTCAGTGCAGTTCCCTTGAATTCAATAAAATAAATGTTGAGTTCTTACAAGGTCCCTGATGTTTCTCACAGAGCAAGGAGGAAGGTGAAAAGTTGGTTAGTTTGGGTCAGTCACATGTGATCTCATGATTGGAAGCTTTCTTGCTCACTACATTCTGCCTTGAATCCAAGAGAAAGGTCAAAGGTTCAGTTTCCGGGCAAGTTTTCTGATGATGATTCTCATGAGCCTTATAAGTGAAAAGGCCAGTAATAAAATGCATTCTTTGTGTTCATTTTTTCCTTTGAGTGAGAACAGCAACCATGGTTAAGAGGAAGCTGAGTTGGCCTTGGGCACTCAAGAAACCAAGGTATAAAAGTTGAGCCTGGAGTCAATGGTTGATTGTTGTCCTTCATTCTTGAAGAGGACCAAAATGATAGAATTTTACTATAATAGGCATTCTGAATATGAAGTCTTTTTCTAAGGACCAACAAATAAGTTGGAAGAAGTGAACCACATTAATAATATTAATGTTCTTGCAATTAACCTAACGAAAAGAAAGATATAGTTAAATGGAAGGATGGATCACAGGTTTTTCTTAGAGAGGCAAACAAAGGACTTGCCATCATTGGTTTAATTATATTTTCAAAAGCAACATAAAGACATTTGACTATTTTGTCTTTCGGGACTTGTGGTAAGAAAAAAAAAATGACCACAAGATGACTGTGGTCTATGTACCAGGTTTTAGGAACATTTAGAAAATTCTTATAATTGAATCTGATATGCTGTAGAGGATGAAGAGGTAGGAAAATTCTCTAAAGAATATGAAATGAGCTTCCAAACTAAGTCAACATATACTTTGATGTATGGTGACTTCACAATGAGGAGGTGAGGACAGGAAAGAATTATAAAAAGTATGTTGGAAAATTTGGCCGAGGTTTGAGAAACAAAATAGCCCAAAGCCTTGTAAAGGACTGAGAATCTCCATAGCTATGAATATTTTTATCTGAAGATAGCTGGGCAGTAAAGGACATGGTGAGCACCAATCATCATCATTAAAAAATGAAACTGACTATATCTTTACAGGAAATGACTTGGTAACTGATGAGGGAATCAGATTAGAATCAGCCATCTGTGTGCTGTCAGAACTAGTTAAAGCAAAGGCCAAAATCAATAGCACATCAGGACAGAGGCTTAAAAAGGGAGAAAATTGCAAATAATTTTATAGATTCAACCTCATTTATTCAAACAAGCCATTAATGAAAAAAGGAAATGAAAAGACAGTCATTTATATGATTATTAGTATTTCCTGTAAGGAATCAACAGGTGACCCTGGTTTAGAAAACAAACACATTTGTAAAACAATACAAAGTATGACAGAAAATTACTACCATGTCTCTTCATAGAAAAACACACCTCAGGATGATCAAGTATTTCATGTTGGAAGACTATAAATAGACCCAAATAAGCCACACCATCCCTAGATCATTAATAGATGAAATCAGGAGGAAGATGACAAAAAGCAAAAAGAAAGAAATTGGTCAATGGTTTTATAATGCTCTATTTTTATTTTCCAATAACAAAGAAACCATGCCATGTGGAGTCTGAAACCTCAGTCTCCCAGGCAGAGAAGGAAGCTGACCGAGCATTAAAGAGCAGATAAAGAAAAGCAATTGGATCAAACCAAGTAAACACCAAGGAAATCCACAAGAGAGGCAACATTCTCTTGAAAGCACCGAGAGACCTTTTTATGGGAATCTTATGAAGGGAAGATAACAAAGGAATGGAAGAGGGGAAAACAAAACAAAACAAAACAAAAAACCATGGTTAAAAACAAATGGTTGAAGGAAGCATCAATAACTAATGACCCATTTGGCCACTTTTCTCATCTTCATAAAATCTTGATAAAATGATTTGTATAGGTTTTGAGGTTTATCTTTCAATTCAATTTCAAAAAAAGTTTATCAAGTCACTATATTACAAGGAATTCGTGCTAGGCACTGAGGATACAAAGAAAAAAAAAAAGATCCCTACCTTTATGGAATTTGCATTCTACTGGATGGAAATGAGAACAGGAAGGCTTTTGCAAATAAATCTCTACAATGGACTACATCTTTACATTCACACAGTTGACTGTAAGATGAAGAGAATACAAAACTAGTTCTGCTGTTGATTGTTAATTTTTTTAAAGGCATTTGACTTGGTAGAGCAAAATGAAGCCTTAAAAAAAAGGAGTTCCTTGTTAAGCATGCTGTAATCATACAAATTTCTTGATAAATGCAGCCACAGATAAAATTCTGTTCAATGACCCTGTGAGTTATTAACTTCAAACAAATTGTAAAACAGGTGTGGCTAACCAAACACGTTTGGTTACATGTCACTGATATCTTAATCCTCCCTAATTATTAAACCTTAGTTGATAATGTCATTAAAAGCTTAAAATTTTAAAGACTGCCCAAAGAATTTTTAAATATGCATGTGTGAAGATCATGTGACACTTATTACAAGTTACAGTCTCACTGTTTTACAGGCAAGATTTTAATGAGTATAGAAGAAGAGGCACCATACTACCTTTTACTCATAGAAGGGTACCAAGGATACTCTTCCAAGCCTATAATTGCTTTATCCACCTGAAAAGGTCCTGTAGAACCTCTATGTTATATTATGCTATTATCTCCATCTGACATTAAAGGCTGGCAGTAGTTTATGATTTTTGCCCTGGTTGGGATTTAGAAGAAACTTGCAAAATAGCATCTTACTGTAGGGACTGTCATCTCCATCCAAAAAAGAGCCCTGAAGAAGATGGAGAAGGATTCACTGGAAAGTGAAGTGGATATATGGATTTTGTTCATACTACTGTATCGCTTCCTCACTATTGAGAATCTATTGCTTCTAGCTCAAACAAAAAATGTGGAGTAGATCCTTGGTGTCACTTCCCTTTCTATGATTCTCTCCTATCTCCTGTCCTTCTGTCTCCTCTGTCTCTTAGGTACCCAATGCAAGCTGCCTTCTAGCTTTCTAAAGACTCCCAGAGACCCCATTCAGGCCTGGCCTGCCAACCCAGAATCACCGTACACTTAGAAATTACTTTGGCCTCCTTCCTTCATTGGCCCCACCCCTCAATCCAACTGCCCTTCTCTTGAGACAGATTATCTCAGAGAGCTCTTGGTAGTGATGCAGGGATTTAACTAAGATGGGGGATGACTATATAGTCTGGTTCAACTCTCCCAGAAATATTTCCATTTTAAAAGATAAAGCCCACTTACACACCCACCTTACCCCCCAAATTAGTTTTTAAGGTTGATTTCAGCAAAGATATTTTGGAGCAAAGAGAAACTTCCTAGTATTGCTCAGATTACATGTCACCCAGAAGACACTGCCTAGGTGATAGAAAGAACAATGGCCTTGGATAGGAGACCACGATTCTGGTTCTGATAGTAACCAGCTGTATGTGACCTGGAGTGAATCTTTTAACCTCCTTTGGCCTCAGTTTCCTCCTCTGTAAAATGATGGGGGAGGGGTTGGTTCGGGTGATTCTTAAGGTCCCTTTCAGCTCTACAATTCTAGGTCATTGAATGTGTTGCTACAGCTGAAGTGAATAATTGTGATAAATAATTAAAAGATTCTCTTCTTCCACCACTACCACCACCATGCCTTCCGGCTTTAAAATTCTGACATCCTATTAAGAGTAAATCCTATAGATCAAGACCTATAACTGCTCTTTCACGATTACCTGTTTTTCTCCAATTTGGAGAAGCCATTTGCTGAATTCCTCAGTGGCACACAATGTATAATAATTATCTGGGCCCAGTGCAGTTTGGTATGCCTTGAGGCTGTTTTTAAAATACAGCTCAGCAGCATCTGAAAAGAAATGGAGCAATTGCTTGGGCAAATTTCAGTCAAGGTTTCAGGAGACCATGACATCAGATTTTTACTACAAGGAAAACTCACACGTGGGGATTCTCATAACCCAGTTGTCTATCAGAGCACAGGTGTATGGAATTCTTAAGTGTTAGGAGGATAATCCTTTAAGTAAAGTTAACATTGAGTAGTAAAGATATAAAATTATTGTCTGGGATTATTGTAAAGGAACAATTATGGCTTAAATTTAGACCTAAAATAAAATTACCTACCATATTGTCATTATATGAAAAGTTGAAATTACCCAACTTTACAGACATGAACTATTTTATTCTTTTAAAAAAAAATAACTAGACACAAATACCCACTATTCATGAATACACTAAATTCCACAGAATAATAAAAGACAGTGAACACAACACAAACATAAGATTACTTAGTATATACTAGTGTGTATGCATGAAAATGAAGGAAAAAAAGGCAGCAGAATCACTGGAAAACTTTATCCAGTGACACAGGATGAAACATTTACTTTACCCTCCATCCTAAAGTATGTCTACCGAAATAAATAATAGTGAAAATATAAACATGTCTTTTCCATTGACTTAAAAAACTACATTCTTCACAAAGTCTAATATCTTAATATTTTTTTAAAAAATACAAGTCCAGATGGAGTTCAGCTACTGCAAGTGTATTCCTTCTCCCATTTGTGAATGATACTATTTTTTGTTGGTCCAAGACACCAGGGAAAGGCAAACACTTTGGATTAGCTTACAGTGTAGGGGCAGAGAACACAGTATTTTTAATTCTTGCACCAAACTCCTTGATCTACTCTCCTTTTCCGATATGAAATTCACAGTCGTGTAGAACTAAATTATCTCCCATTGACAATCTGTGGGGCAGCTAGGTGTCCCAGTGGATAGAGCACCGGCCCTGAAGTCAGGGGGACCTAAGTTCAAATCTGACCTCAGACCAAATACTTGACACTTACTAGCTGTGTGACCCTAGGCAAGTCACTTAACCCCAATTGCCAAAAAAAAAAAAAAAAGACAATCTATTTATTTTTGTGAATGTTGCTGAATGCTTAATGAAATAAAATGAAATCAAAGATTTAGAATATAGAAGGCGTAATCAATACCTAAGGTGATTTTTTACTCCTACAGACTTTTTTTGCTTGGAATGTATGCATTACCAAATGCCTTTAATACTATGTCTGAATACATAGTGCTTACAGTTTCAGCAACCTAAAATAGGTAACAATTTTATTCAAGATCTAGATTCAAGTATTTTTAAAATATGCTTAAATTCAACTGTTTACTGCTTTCCTTCTTATATAATATTTCATGCAATTTCCTTGGGAAATGTTTATACACAGTAATATCTGTCTAAACTACTGTCCTTAATCTACTTTAAATATTATTTGTAACCAAATGTAGTGTGCACATGCTTATAAGGAGCTTTTCCAAAAGGTGAGTATTGTCCTCTTATCTTAATGGATTGGGAAATTATGCTAAATATAAACCCATCTCACCTACATACCCTTGTGTTGTGGCTCTCCAGACGTGGCATAAGCTTTAGCTAGCAAGAAACCTGTCTTAGCAGCTTCAGCACTGAGTTCTTTGTATGAAGCCACACAGATAGAATGAGCCTGGAATAAAAATATATATATCAGCTAATTAGCTCAAGGAAAGCACCCAAGTAATAGTGCCTCCATATTTTTTTAAAATTTTAATAAAATCTATAATAAGAATAAAGTCTAGACTTTTGGGTTAACTGATCATACTAAGAGGGACAAAGTAATGGTTTGAAGAATAAAGAAAAAGGTAAACCTTCTAATCCAATCCCACCAGAAATGAAAAGCAGTCCAAGACTACTAAAGTCAGCAAAAATACCACTGGATCTCTCTATTCTCTGAATTCTAATTGTGTTCATTGCCACATGACTTCTCTGTTTCTAAGCTCTCTTCAAATGGCACTGGTCCTCACTGACAGTGTTCCCACAACTGTAGGGGGTAGGTTCCCTGCTCAATATTTTTCAATGTTCTCTAGCTTCCTATGTACTTGCTTTATGTTCTCAGTTAGTCTATAAATTCCTGGAGACCACTCCCTGTATTTATCCCTCACAAAGCCTAATGATGATGAGCATTCATTCAACCAACCAATTATCTACTAAATGGCTACTACTGGCAAGGCATGGTGTTAACTGCTATTCTTATACACAGTAGGTAATCGCTAAATCCTTGGGGATTGACTGATTTTAAATACTTATGAACTTTTTTAGATTATGAGCTACTTTATCAGCCAAAATGTTCTCAGCCAAGGATAACCTATCCCATCTGTTCACCATATGATGATGTCCACCATCATTTGGTGATGCCACCATCAAAAACAAAACCAAGCACAGAAACCCTTTCCAGAACTAGTGGTAAGGCATCAATGACAGCCTTCCTCCTTTATGAAATTACAAATTCACACCCGAATTAAGAAAATAGACATTACCTTATTACAAATATTTGATGTCATGAGATGACCCAGAAGTAGCTAAATGGTACAGTAGGACAAGAGCACTGGGCTCAGTGGAGTCGGGAAGACCTAAGTTCAAATACAGCCTCAGACACTTATTAGCTGTGTGACCCTGGGCAAGTCACTTAACTCAGTTTCCTCAAATGTAAAATGAGGATAATGATAGCACCTACCTCCCAGGATTGTTATGAGGATCAAATGAGATAATATTTGTAAAGTGCTTAGCACAGTGCCTTATAAATACTTATTCCCTCCTCCTTTCCCCTCCCTGAAAAACTCCTGTGGCTCACCAAAGATCAATGGATCACTTTCAGAAGAGACTGGTATAAAATGTAAATAAAAGTAATATTTTACATATATATGTGCTGTATATATATACATATGTATGTGTATATACATATTTATATAAACTATGAACCTACTCCTCCTCTTCCCCTTCCCAGAGCTAAGGTGGTGGTGTTAGTGGTGGTGTTGGTGATGCTGGTGGTACTAGGGGAGGATTATGCCTCTCACGTGTCGGAGGAATAAGTTTGTATGTTTGTGCTTATACCTTTTGAAGTAAATATTTCTGTGTAAAAGCTAGCTTAAGTGTTAGTAGCTAAATGGAACTGGAGAGCTGGGAACCTGCCCTTCCCTGCAGCTGTGGGAACATCATCAGCAAAGACTAGTGCCATTTGCAGAGAACTTAGAAACTCCTAGAAACTGCCTAGAAACTGCAGGCAGGTGCCACAGTGGATAGAGTCAGGCCTGGAGCCAGGAAGATTCATCTTCCTGAGTTCAAATCTAGTAGCAGATACTTACTAGCTGGGTGACCCTAGGCAAGTCACTTAACCCTGTTTACTTAAGTTTTTTCATCTGTAAAATGAGTTAGAGAAGAAATTGGCAAACCACTCCAGTATCTCTGCTAAGAAAATCCCAAATGGGGTCATGAAGAGTCGGACACGATTGAAAAATGACTGAACAACAACATAGAAACCCCCTATCCCCTTAAGAGTACTGGAGAATCTGGGGGAAAGGTTAAATGTAATTTACCTGGCCTTCCAGGTAGTGAATATATAAAAGTTCCCTAAACTTTTTTCATGGGAAAGTCTCATTATTCTTTCCAAAGGTTTTTTTTTTTTTTAATCCTGGAATATGGTCAAATTAGTTCATTCTAGATAAAACACTTGTGATCATATCCCTATACCTAGAAATATAACCAGACACTAGATTAAAGGTCAAGTGATGGAATCACACCAAATTATCATGACTTAGCATTTTAAAAGTTTTCTACTTGTCAACAATTTAAATTCAGTTGTTACCAATTACTTTTGCTGTTGGGAAGGTACAAACGACTTCTAGCTTCCTGGAGACAACAGAACCTAACAGAAACTTCTATTTCTTATTAGATAGGAGAAAACATGGTATGATGGAAGGGAAAAGGGAATAAGCATTTATATAAAATCTACTATGTGCAGCTGGGTGGTTTGGTGGTTAGAGGACAGGGCCCAGAATTTGAAAGACCAGAGTTCAATTTTGATCTCAGGCACTTACTAGCTGTGTAACTCCGGACAAGTCACTTAACCTCTACCTTAATCCACTGGAGAAGGAAATGGCAAACCACTCAGTATCTTTTCCAAAAAACCCTACAGATGGTATGGTCCACAGGGACATGAAGAGTTGGATACAACTGAACAACACGTACTTTTACAAATATTATTTCATTCGGAGATATGATTCTAGAAGCATGAGACCTGGATTAAATCCTGCCTCTGTCACCACCTATGTAGTCTTGGGCAAATCCTGTAACTTCCCTGGACCTTGGTTTCTTCATCTGTGAAATGAAGGGTTGTACCTAGATAGTACCTGAGGTCCTTTCTATCTCTAAAATCAATGACCCTATGATTGAACTGAATCTGGTTCAGGTAGCATTTCTATACTAGGTTTCATCCTGAAACCATCCACCCAATTCAGTTAATCAAAGAGAAGCTGATAGAAGGATTCCTTGGCAGGTTTGGGACTTCAGTCAAATGATCAGAACAGAGACAATTCTACTTTGCCCTCTTTTGCAGGTCTCAAGCTTCCTTGGCATCGTAGCTATGAAGGCCAAGTGGTAAGAACGTGGGGTTCTAACCAATTCACTTACCTGCAGCAAGTGTTCAATGGCTCGGTCATGGTTTTTCCTGAGCTGTTCAGCCTGTGCAGCTTCCTGATACAGGCTGATCAGTTCTGATGTGGAATCGCCCTTGGAAGAGATAACATGGGTAATTGCTTTTTCAAAGTAATTCACAGACAAGTTCAATCGGTGAAGTTGCAAAGCAGCTCTGCCCGGAAAATAGACAGAGACACACGCCACAAATTAAGAAGGTCCATGGGAAGTAATGGCTACTATAGCCCCACATTTGTCCAGAGCTCATGGCCTCTGACATAGACCCAACAGGGAGAACAGGGAAAGGCTGAGAAGTTGTTTACAGGGGTACAATCACCATTGACCTCATGACTCAACTCTTTGGTGTACTCTGGGCCTTGGACCTCAGTCAATCTAAACCTCAGCATTTCCTCCAGCTTAACATAAATACATATATGAAGTGGGAGCTGCCGGGCCAATGAGCTTTTCCAGGGCTGCTCTGCTTTGCTTGGCCATGAGGAAGCCTCACGTGGGTCTCACAATTTAACTGTCCTGTTCGATTAAATGCCTATTTACTTATTCATTGGCATATATTTATTAAATGTTTACTAATGTGTAGGGCACTACCCTAGGCACTGAGACTGAAAATAAAGCAATCCAGTCCTCAAGGAGCTTACTTTCTTACTAATAGCTAGCTTTTATATAGCACTTTAAGGTTTGGAAGCATCATATATTAGCACATTTGATCCTTTATTCTATCCCACTGAAACCGGGACTACTGGTAGGCAAAGTATTTAAATACCTAAAATGTAATAATACATGAGGATGGTAGCAAGGAGGTACATCATCAAAGGCCCTTTGATATTATTTTTGAAAACAAATGTGGCTAGGTTTTTTAGGATTTAGAGCTGGAGGGGACTTTAGAGACCATTTAGAGCCCAACTCTTTCATTTTGTAGGTGAGGAAACTGACACAGATAAATTAGCTGATTTGCCCAAGGTCACCCACTTAGAAACTAGAAGAATTAGGAACCTAAACTAGCTTCTCTGACACCAAATCCACTGAACTTAACAAAATTCTACTCATGATGGCTCACAGGTGTATCCTGTGTTACAGTGTAGGTCCAAAGCCTTCATACAGTAGCCAGTAATACACAGCTAGGTGATGCGGTGGATAGAGAGAATGGGCTTAGAATCAGAAAGGCTCATCTTTGAGAGTTCAAATCCATCCTCAGACACTTACTAGCTGTGTGACCCTAGGCAAGTCACTTATTCCTGCTTGCCTCAGTTTCCTCAACTGCAAAATGAGCTAGAGAAGGAAATGGCAAACCACTCTAGTATCTTTGCCAAGAAAACCCCAAATGGGGTCACGAAGAGTAGGACACAATTGAAATGAATGGAACAACAATACACAATGGGATATCATTTTAAAATTTCCTAAAGTACACATCTGTTTTGTTCCAGCTCTAAACTACATATCTCAACTGAGTTAATGTTGTTGGCTTATGGGGAAGCTTTAGTGCAAGTGAAGGCTACCTAGATAGACAGAATCCTACCAATCAAGTCTCACAAATAAACAAAGATTCCTTTCTCCCTATTTAAAAAAAGGGGGGGGCACCTACCCAGCAAAACTGATCATAATCCTTCAGGGTAAAAAATGGTCATTCAATGAAATAGGGGACTTTCAAGCATTCCTGTGGAAAAGACCAGAACTGAATAGAAAATTTGACCTTCAAATACAAGACTCAAGTGAAACATGGAAGAGGTAAACAGGAAAGAGAAATCATTAGAGGGTTATTAAGGTTGAACTGTTTACATTCCTGCAGGGAAAGATGATATTTGTAACTCATGAGTCCTTTGTCAGTATTAGGGTAGTAGGAGGGAAAAAATTATATGTATGTATAGATAGATAGATAGATAGAGGGCACAGGGTGAGTTGAAGATGAAGGGGTGATATCTGGAAAATAAAATTAAGGGGTGAGAGAGGATTATACTGGGAGAAGGAGAAAAGGAGAAGTAGAATGAGGTAAAATATCTCACATGAAACAGAAAAGAAAAGGTTCTTACAGTGGAGGGGAAATGGGTGAAGGTGAGAGGGAATGAATGAATCTTATTCTCATAGGATTTGGTGTAAGGAGGGAATGACATACACAATGGGGTATGGAAATCTATCTCACCCTACAGGAAAATAAGGGGGGAAGGGGACAAGAGAGCAGGGGGTTGATAGAGGGAAGGGCAGATTGGGGGAGGGGATAATCAAAAGCAAACACTTCCTAGGAGGGACAAGGTCAAAAGAGAGAATAGAATAAATGGGGGGTGGGATAGGATGAAGGGAAATATACTTAGTTTTTTACAACAGAACTACTATGGAAGTGTTTTGCATGACTACATATCTATAACCTGTACCAAGATGCTTGCCTTTTCAATGAGGGTGGGTGGGGAGGGAGGAAGGGAGAAAATTTGTAACCCAAAGTTTTAAAAACACATGTTTAAAAAAATTAAAAATTTTAAAAAGGGGCTGCAAAATTAGCTACCATTTTTGTTAGTAGATCATCCTATCAGCTTTCCTGTGTGACAATAGTATATGTACAACAGACAAGTTTAGGCACCCTTGGGCTCAGTTTAATTCAGTTCTGAGCATTCCAGTGCTTCCAAAATTTCCCAGCTGACTCAGCTCTCCTTAGTTCGTTCTTGCCTGGAGAGAATAGAGGTGCTGCATTTACTTTATTGATTTTCTAGTCATTCATTTGCTTCCCATTCCAAGTACCTTAAGACTCTGGGAAACATCTGATGAAAGCATGGGGAAATAAACGAAAAATCTGGGGAGAGGGGAAACGCTCTTTTTATCTGACGAACTGGTTGGTCTTGCTTTCATTGTTACTAATCTACAAATCTCAGATAATCTCATTCAACTATGTTCAGGCTCCACTTGTTCCTTCATAGTGTTTCATGAACTGCATTTTCTTTTTCCTTTTCTTTCTTTCTTCTTTCTTTCTTTCTTTCTTTCTTTCTTTCTTTCTTTCTTTCTTTC